CCGACCGTGTTGGCAATTGGCTACTGGCACCGGCCTGTTGGCCACTGGCCACCTGCAGTGGCAGAGCCGTGGCCCGTGTTCAGAGTGGGGCTGGGGGGGCACAGGGGAGGAGGCACACTGCTGGGGGGACGGGGCAGTGTGGGTCAGTGCCACTTGGGGGGACACGGAGGAAGGACTTTTCCCCCAGCTGTCCCCCACAACGGGGCCATGCAGTGGGTCTGCCCCACACCGTGCCACGCTCTGGGGACACACAGTGGGGCTGTGCCCCCCCCTGAGGCCCCTCACCATGGCTGGGCTGTGCACCGGGGCCACACAGGGGGCCCTGCCCCACACTATGGGGGGCTGTGCCCCATCAGGCTCCGTGCGGTGCCGCACTGGTGCCACGCTCCAGGGTGACAGACCGGGGCTGTGCCATACTCTGGGGCCGTGCATAGGGCCCTGCCCCACACCGTGCTGTGCTCTGGGGACACGCCAGTGGGGCTGTGCCACGTTGTGGGGCTGTGCACTGTGCTGTGCCCCACACTGTGCCATGCTCTGGGGCTGTGTAGTGCTCTGGAGCCGTGCACGGTGGTGTGCCCGGTGCTGTGCCACACACAGGGCCCTGCCCCACACCGTGCCATGCTCTGGGGGCACACAGTGGGGTTGTGCTGTGCTGTGGGGCTGTGCCCCATGCTGTGCCACACTCTGGGGACCACACAGTGGGGCTGTGCCGTGCTGTGGGGCTGTGCATTGGGGCTGTGTGTGCTCTGGAGCCATGCTGTGCTCTGGGGCTGTGCCCCGTGCTGTGGGGCTGTGCCCTGTGCTGTGCCCCACACCATGCCACGCTCTGGGGACACACAGTGGGGCTGTGCCGTGTCTGGAGCTGTGCCCCACACTGTGCCATGCTCTGGGGACACACGATGGGGCTGTGCCGTGCTGTGGGGCTGTGCATTGGGGCTGTGTGTGCTCTGGAGCCATGCTGTGCTGTGGGGCTGTGCCCTACACTGTGCCACGCTCTGGGGACACACAGTGGGGCTGTGCCGTGCTCTGGGGCTGTGCCCCACACTATGCCATGCTCTGGGGACACACGGTGGGGCTGTGCCCTGTGCTATGGGGCTGTGCACTGGGGCTGTGTGTGCTCTGGAGCCGTGCTGTGCTCTGGGGCTGTGCCCCACACCGTGCCACACTTTGGGGACCATCCAGTGGGGCTGTGCCGTGCTGTGGGGCTGTGAACTGGGGCTGTGTGGTGCTCTGGAGCTGGGCTGTGCTGTGGGGCTGTGCCCCACACCGTGTGTCCGTCCGTCCGTCCGTCCGTCCGTCCGTCCGTCCCACTCCGTTCCGCCGCCCCGTCCCGGCCCGTCCCGGCGGAACCCCGGGGCCGCCGCTCGCGTGGGCGACACGGGCGTTTCCGCCGGGCGGCACCGCTCGTCTGCTCCGGAAGCCCAGGAGCAACCTTGGCCGCGCCGATTGGCTGGAAGGGCGGGGAGACCCGCCG